AGTTTCCTTAGATGCTGAAGAACAGATAGACCTTGGAAATTAAGGCTTGATTTTCTGAAAAAAGGTAAGATTGCCTGACCAGTGCACTTGAGAAATAACAAAAGAATTTCAGGAGGTTTGCTTCCCAGTAAGTTGAAGGAAAACAACGACATAAAGATTACATCAGTTGTTAAATATTGCTAAAATTAATAAATTAGCTGAAATCAAAACATCCAAACTGAAATCCTAAAAGTCCGTGTGTAATGATTTGTATCTTTCCTAAGTCAAGGTGACCATCAAAATATCCCTTCATTAGCTATGTACCCAAGAGATTCGAAAACATATGTCCACATAAAAACTTGTACGTGAATGTTCATAGTGCCTTATAATAGCCAAAAAGTGGAAACATACCAAATGTACATCAGCTGATGAAATGATAAATAAAATGTGGAATATCCATATAAAAGGATATTATTCAGCAATAATAAATAATGAAGTCCCCGTACATTCTACAACATGGATAAACCTTGATGAAAACATTATGCTAAGTGAAAGAAGCTGTTCAAAAAAGACCACATATTGTTAAATTCCATTTATATGAAATGCTCAGAATAGACACATCCATAGAGACAGAAAGTAGACTAGTGGTTGCCTAGGGCTGAGGGAAAGGGGTTGAGATAAATGGAAAGTGACTGCTAATGGGTATGGGGTTTCTTTCTGGGGTGATGAAAATGTTCTAAAATTACGGTAGTGGTGATGGTTGCATAACTGTGAATATACTAACAGTATTGAATTGTACATGTTAAATAGGTCAGTTGTATGACATGTGAATTATACCTCAATAAATTAGTTACCAAAAAAATCCAGCTCCTCATATAAAATAAGTGTAGTTGATCAAGTAGATTTTAATTAGTAACCATCTACATAGTCTTGAGAGTAATCCTTTCAGTATAATTATCTTCATTTCTGTGAGTCTACAATTCACTCCCTACTACTATAGTCAAGGAATTTGTATTCTAACTAGGAAAAAAACACCAAATTTTCCTCTGGTATTTAACAGATTTACATTTCTCAAGTATAAGACACTGTACACTATGTCCCAGACACAATTCAAGGTTCTTTACATGTTATTTAAACTTCCATATGGGGTAGAAATAGGAATACTGTCTCCATTTTTCAAATGAAAGAACTGAGGCTCAGAATATTCAAGCTGGTTAGTTAATAAGTGGCTGAGTGACACTTAGAACCAGATCCTGTCTCAAATCGAAAACCCATGCTTTCTATACTGTTACCCTGCCTTTTTACATTAAAGTCAGCAAAATTGCTCACTTTTTATCACTATTTGGGGCACTTCTCCACCATATCGCTCCAATATCTCTGGAAGATTTACTGGAATGGAATGTAGTAGGCAAATAATGATCTTGTTCTTCTGTCATGACTTGTGAAAATCAGTATTTCCTAACAGAGTTTAACCATAAACTCTCATAGCACTTTATCCAATAATAAAAAAGAAAAAAAACCTTTGTATCTTATAATTCTTTATTAATTTAACAATTTTTTATGGGCAACTATGTCATAAGTCTTCTGTGCTGGCTGTTATGGGATAATTAGCAACTATAAAAGTGTT